GGGGGGGGATACTGAATAGGGTGCATGGTGTGGAATTTCCCCCTTTGTTTTATCCCAACCTTTGCTTTCTTGGTGTATGCCTACTTTTACAGTCATTTTATTTCGGAGGAATTTTGACTACATTATTCAGTAACTATAGCAAAATCTCTTGAGGAATATAAATGTTTATAAATATTTTATTTTGAGCTGAATTACAAGAAAAGACCATTTTACTTTCTCTTCTCTTACTAAGACATGATAGATCTTTGTGACCTAATGTGTTAAATATGGGCCCTATCCCTAGCCCTTACTTTGTACTTCATGGTTAGTTTTAAACAAGAATTCTATCGTGGGTAAACCATGCCATACTTTTCTTTGATGACGAATGTCTCAGTCACAGTGTAGGTTTCTGCTACTAAAGATTATAAGACATTTGTAAAGCATAAATAACTATGGTATTATAAGTTTTGTAATCCAAGAGCTGCTGTTTTTTGTTATTTTTTAGCCCATATATGGCTCAGTAGTGTAAAGAACTATTCAGAACTTTTTGAATACCTCTTTGTGTTTTATACTGAAACTTTTCATAATTATCATCGAACGAAATATAAAATCCCCCTCCTATAACTTCCCTATCCCCTTAAAAAAATAAAAATAAAAGCCAATCAAAGAAAATGCACAAATAAAACCAACCCCCACCCCCCAACTTAAAAACACACCCATAATGAAGCTAGCACAGCAACAAAACCTGGATGGTTCTGGCAGATCTGCTCTTTGTCTTTGTGGACTGTTGCCAAAGTTGTGCATTGTGCTATTTACCACTGATTCTTGGATGAGTAGCTTGTTTCAGTTTTATTTGGAAATCTTCTAGAGCTGCTTTAAAAAAAAAAAAATTTATTTGTCCTAGGGAAGTAGCTTTCTCTCTCTAGTTCTTAGTCAGATGTGTGCTTCAGGTTTCAAGTACGCAGACAATAGTTTTGTTTTTGTTGTGCGTTGCATACCTCTATAATTTTCTTTTATGTTGTGTGGCATGGTTCTCTTGCAGGAATGAGAGAAGGTCACAATGCCGCTGTTTGGCAAAAAGAAAAAAGGTTAAACATTTCCCATTTTGTTTCCTTTCTGTAGCACTAACTGGCTTAATCTTGCACTATTTTGCTTTTTGACTCGCTTTAGTTTCTCTGGGGTTTACTGACTCAATTGAAGTTAAAATGAATGAATTTGCATGCAAAATTTAAATTTTGTGTACAAAGAATGTGTATTTCTTTTTAAAAAATTTACGTTTGAATGATAATTAAATTATTAAATCATTCCATAGGAACATGGCTATTTAATGTTTATGGGCATGAATGATTTGTTCTGGCATTTCTTTGTTGTGTGGCTGTTTGTTTTGTTATAATCAGTATGTCTTTCTTTATTCGATCTAATAATAATTGTCAAGGTGACTTGTTTTCAACATCCAAATAATTTTATCTAAAAGGGGATTTTGTTAATCCTGTATGATTTTGTCTTTTTTTTTGTTGTTGTAAGGGAGCTTTTTCAACTTTTTGTGAAAATAGATGTTTTCCTTTCAAAGTTAAAGCAGTGTGTTTTTCTAACCTTATTAAGTGGGTGGTTGGTGGGTGCTCTGGTGTACTTTGCTTCTTCTTTCCTATCAAACATCTATCGTCCTTATCTCCCCTTCTTCTTTTTTATGTTTGTTACTGTCTTGTAACACCTCTAATCTCCTGGCGCTCATATGACCTTATGCAGTTGCGAGCGCGGTAAAACCTCTACGAAAACTAAAAAACTAAAAACTAACCTTATCAATCCTGCAATACTTATTTATATATATATATGGGAACACTTTCTTTGGGACTATTTTTTTAAAATGTCATTGGACGAATCATGTTTTTAAATCTGCATTCTGGTGATAGAAATAAGTTTAAGCTTTATATAATGAATACCTTAGGGCTGAATATCCATAGATAAAGTTAATAAAATCTCCGTAGAGAGGTCAACCTGAAAGAATGGTCCTGCTAAACTTGTGGTAGTGAAAATTATGTCAGTTTATTTTTACCCTGTTTTAAAAAAACGTTTTTATTATTATTATTATTTTTGTCTTAAAATGTCCTCTGTTGCAGAGATGTTTAATACTATTATTTTTATTATAGAATGATTTGTTGCCTCACATTCAGTGATTTTTTAAAACTAAACTGTAATGCCGCATTAAAACATAAGTTAATTAAAGGTGCTAACTGTTGAAATCTTGTGTAATATGTTTTTAAAGAGTTTATTTGTTGACTGTTACTGCTTTTGATATTGAACTCCTGCATGTAAAGAAGAAAATGCATACTATTTTACTTTTTGAAATCAAAAGTTGGAATGAAGAAAACAAATACATAGTCATGTTGAAGACTTTGCTTTATGTTGGTTATGTGTTTCTGTGCTGTATGTGATGATTTTAGAGAACATTTTTTAACCCGTTATTTGCTTTTTAAACAGACTTTCGAAGTGATGTGGACAATCCATCCTTCTTGACTTTGTCAATTTAAAAAGATGTGGAAGTAAATGATTTTTATTTTGATCTTTAAAAAGGTATAAAGTACAGGGATGTTGCAGTGTTTATTTTTGCTCTCTATAATGGTGCTAGCTAAGAATGTCTTACTGTAATTGAAAGAAATAAAAATGGTCCATACAGGCAGGACCAAACTTCAGTAATGTTCCTGTGACCGGTATGGGGCTGTATAAATTTGTTGTTAGTTATCACTGTAGACATGATGGAAATTGTTTCTGTTTGTGTAAATTGTTTTCCCCGAGTCCTGCTTTGTTGATGTAAATACTTTCTGTTCAGATTATATGATGAAATGTTCATCTCAATTCTTGACTCAAATGTTCATATTCTTGACTCATCCAGGCCTTGGAATCTTTGATCAGGTCTCAGCTCCCTGTGTCTCTCTCAATTAGATTTAGTTTTTGTTATATTTGAAAAAATAATTTGTATTATATATTTGTATGCTTGTGCATTATTATGTGTTGTAGGTAAATTCAGGCAGGGCAGTTAATTACACACACTGTTACATCCTGCAAATATACTCATAAACACCCAGAAGGTTAATGGAGATGACAGATATTCTTAATCAACTGTGCATGTCATGTAAGGACGAAATTGTTTTCTTTGGTTACGTCTCAAGGTTCAAACTTTGTTATATTTAACCAGCACTTTCTATCTTTAAGCTAGCATTTGCAACCTGAAACTTCTTATGCCTGTCAGAGATAATGGATGTCAGTAGCACTAAATGAAATTATGCAACCCTCTGTATGTGTAAATGGATACATGGAGATTTTTTGGATTTCTTTTTTTTTTTTTTTTTGCCAGTCTTTGTGTCAGGGTATTTCATATTTAAATAACATTACAATTTTACACAATTATTTCTGTATATGATTATATTGCTTGGCTTTACAAACTTAGAATTATTGAGCGCTACTTCGTTCCATAACAAGCCTGTAAAAACGAATTTACTCTTAACTGTTTAATTGAAAGAAATCAAATATTTAGTGTCTAACCCCAGAGTTTTCTATCTTTTTTTTTGCTTTGTAGTACTTGTATACTCTTTCCTGCCCTGCTTTATTCTCCTTGTTGTGTTTTTCTCCCCATAAGTCCCCATTTTCAACACAGCTAAAACAACATTTTGTAGGGAGGCACAACAAAAGATGATCATCTGAAGAAGAATCCCATTCTACAGTGTCTTAAATCGTGCTTGATATCAGTTCAGGAACTTGCTGGTTTTCTGTATTTATATAAGACTAATTTCATGAAGCCTTTTGTATGCTTTCAAACTGGCTCACTGCAGCTGCATTTAAACTGTGCAACAAATATCTGCTTATACTGCTAGTGTACACTTTTTTGCTTAATGGCTTCTGATATTCATGGTTGTGGGTTGCTGTTTTTTTTCCTAATGGTACAGAATCATACAAATTGTAATTAAAAATATTAAAAAGGCCATGTCACTATTATTTGAGTCTTTTGAAATGACTGATCTGAAGCAAAGCTCACCAAAAGAGGCTGTGTAAGCACGATTTACAAAGTTCAGAAAATAGTTCATAACTGGTTGAAGGTCATATTTCTTCCTTTGTGTTGTTCTGTGTTGTCAAATTAGCCCTTTGCCCATGCTGCTGCTACAACAGTCAAACAATCATGCTGTAAATTTTCGGTGTGCTGTTAAAATGTAATAAGCCCAAAAAGGAACATTTTTCAGGAAAGAGAAGAAAACTGCTTCATTCTTTTCACTATTGTATGTGGATTACGTTTTTGTTGTTGTTGCATTTTCCAACATTTGGAATCCGAATTTAGACAACAATTTTCTTGAGCACATGCAACTGATACTGCAGATTAAGAAAATGCAATTTAAAAATTTAAAATTTTGGGCTTAGTAGGCTATTTTTTAACAGCTGGCCGACGAAATAAGGTATTTGCTTTTGTTTAGCTGGTGTCTTTGGATGAAAAAAGGCTTTCTTTTTACTCCCATCCCCACTCCCGCTTTTAAATCATATGACATATCTACCTGGTTCTTTATAGACACCATTAGACCATCCCCCCTCCAAAAAAAAAAAAGAAGTAAATCAATAATCGCTTGCCCAGATACTTTATTTACTGTAGACCTTAAGCCATGAAAAGGACCTTAAAACAGCATGTGGGTGCCTGAAAAATGAGACAGACAACATTTTCCTCTCAAAGAAAAGGACATATTATTTGTAAAAGTCAGTTGTGGGTTGGAAACCTGGCTGCCAACAACGCTTGAAATAAAAAAATAAAAAAATAAAAAATAATTACACTTTTATTTGTCCCAGAAGGGCACTTTGTTTTACAATGGCAAACATACATACATAAATACATAATTATAAATACGTACATACATAAATACATACATGCATAAATACATACATGCATAAATACATACATAAATACACACTATTACACAAATACAG